TTCTTCTTCTTCTGCTTTTTCTTCTTCTTCTTCTTCTTTTTCTTCTTCTTCTTCTTTTTTTCTGCTTCTTCTTCTTCTTCTTCTCCTTCTTCTTTTTATGCTTTTTTTTTCAGCATTCTAAGCCCTTGATGTTCATTGCTAAGATATCTCATGTCACCATTTTCCTTTCTGTAATTAGCTTTCTATTTCCCGTGGGTGACTGTCAAGTGTTTTTAGGTCTGACTCATAGTCTACTCCCATTCAACTCTTTTTTATACAGTTTGTGTCTCTCATTATGCCCTAACGATTTGAGCCCTCTTGGTGCCAGTGATTAGTGGTGATTTTAAATATTATGAATGTCCTTGTAGTTTGTTTTTTCTGTTTTCTGCTGTTTGCATCATTGATGGGCCCATAAATTTGTCCTAAGGTTTGTTTTACGTCTTAATCTCTTAAAGTACTGCTCCAGGTTTCAGAGCCGTGTAAGGCAATTGGTCTTCTGCGTATTTTATATATGGTGTTCTTGATATTACAACATAGAGAATTTGATTTTAGCAGTTTTAGTTATAGCTGTTATAGTGACCACATTTTAAAAAATCCTCATTTGGTTTCCAGAGTCCCATTTTGTAAGGTTAAAGGATAGACCCTTTGCGCGCTGACAAGCATGTTGTAAGAAGTAATTAATTAGGGGTGTTAGGAGTGCTTCTGCCTGAGGGACAGGGACCAACAGTCTGCATACAAATATATCAGTTCTGTGAAATGGATGTTGCATAAAACTAAAGTTCTGGAAATAGACAAAAGTCCAGAAGTGGACAGCAGTCATAACTTTCTGTCAGAGTTGACAGCCAGTGAATGTTAAGAAGAAGAAGTTGAAGATCTCAGAAGCCATATTTCCAATGCCTTCTTCCTAATTTGTTTGCTGACGTCGTAAGGTCCACTACCATACATAAGGACCTGTTTTGACCTAACATTTCAGTATTTCTTTTTCTCTGGTTTACATAACAGATATATAAATTATGATATCATGGTTGGCTGACTAGGATCTTATTTCAGCATTGCGATATTTCTGTTCTCTTTCTGGTTTAAGCAGTAGATGTAATTTATGGTGCCATGGTTGGCTGGCTAAGACTTTGTTTACAGCGTGGTAGTTTTAACTGAATCAATACACCTTACAGTTACACTCCTAAGTAACTAGTAAGTAAAGTAAAGGACCCTTTTCCACACCTTTAGCCGTATAAGGCTAGACCTATATTTTTATAGACCAATCGGCACAAGATGGGTGAAGTGGTCAGCATCATGCCGGCCGCCTTTACTTCCTGGGACTACACCCGGTACCCACTCAAGGTTGGGTCGACCTGGGAGTCAAGGAAATTTTTGAAAAAAAGTTCGGCTCTGCCAGGAAGGGAACCCACGACCTTGCGATCCGCAGGCGAGCGTCTGGCCGCTAAACCACGGCGACTCCCTAAGTAACTAGTGGTCTTTTTTAATACATTCATTGATCCATTTGTATGCTCTGGGGCTCCATTTTGTAGGGAAAAGGAAAAGACCCATTGCTTTTTTTAACAAGCATATTGTAAAAGTAGGGGTTTGCTGAAATCAGATGTGAAGGTCCAAAAGTCCCAGCCAAGCTGTAAACCACAACACAATGTGCCTTCCATCCTTGTAAACCTAATATGGGTCTCCGGAAGAATTCTGGGAAGTAAAGGTGACCACATGATGTAGGCCACGTAACCTTTTGAGTGCTGATTTCCCCCGTCTGGTTCCAGGGTCCCATTGTGCGGAAAACTTGAATAGACCCACTGCCTCCGCAACTAATTGGGGGCATCCTTTGAAGTTGGAGTACCTCTGCCTGAGAGGCAAGGACCAAGAGTCAGCTAATAATCCCTTGATGTTATTGTTGTGCATGTAATCTTATCTACCTCATGCTCACCTGCATAACCATTTCCTTCAGATGTAATTTTTTTAAAAACAGTCTTATGTCTTATAGAGGCTGTGCAGGCCGAGCGGTTACAACGTTGGGGTCTCATGCGAGAGACCCTGGTTCGATGCCCGGTAAAGTAAAAAAAAAAAAAGTAAAGATCCCTTTTCACGCCTTAGGCGCATCGGGTATATGGGTAGAGCATCCAATATTTTTTCAAGACCAATCAGCCCAGCCCGGTAAAGGGATGGAGTTTTGTTTGGGGGGCACAATTATACACCCTAACCTGGACAGTCTGTGGTGACACCAGTAGCCATGTGGCCCTAAATTTCGTAGGCTCATGACCCCTTGTCTACACGGCCCTAAAAAGTGATACATACAGACAGCAGTGACAGTGTTATGTCTTGATGGTGTAGGTAGGTTTAGTGGTTTGCTTGATCAGTTTGCCTCATGGGGGCTGCTACCTAGAGGTTTACCATTCTATCTGAGATGTAAAAAAAAAAAAAAAAATCTGGACTGCAGACCAAGTCAGATCACAGATACCCTGTTCAACCTCCATAGAAGCTATAATTTAGGGCGTCCATAACAACTACACCAGCCAGGTGTAGCCTGCAGCTAAGGACTGATCTTCATAATTCCAACATACCAGGTTAGATTGCACTGCAGGCAATTTGACAGCAGACCGGTTTACTTTGATTACAGTGAAGGCATGAGCATAAACCATTCAAGAGGCAGTGGCAAATTGTTGAACATAAAATTGCTTAGTAAAACCACAAACAGTCAACAATTGGTGGGATTGATTTGCAATGTCATGCAAAGGATATTTTAAAAACATTTTTGTTTTCTTTTTTTCTCCTTAGCATTCACCGACTGTAAACTCTGGGTCAAAATTATAGTTTGACCACTTCTGGAATTTTTTCTTGTTCCAAGACTTGAGTTCTGCGTGCACATCTGCTTTACATATCTGGCTTATTTGTCTCCAGACTGTTAGTTCCTTGGCTCTAAGGCAGATGTACTCCAGCTTCAAAGAAAACCCCTAATTAGTCCCTTTTTGTAACATGCTCGTTTAGGAAGGCTGTGGGTCTGTTCTCTCCACCCCCCACCCGCAAAATGGGGTCCCAGAACCCACAGAGGTAATGGAACTAGTTCTGAAGCAAGTTAGTTGTTGTGTGTATTAGAGACAGAAGGCTGTGCACAGTTATGATGACTGATTTCTCACAGCATAAACTGTATGTATGCTTGCAAATATTTACCTGCACATGATGCATATTTTATTAATACTTGTATATTTTTACCAACATATTATTTCCCCCATTTACTTTAACCTCATGTCAGCTCTTTGTTGGTTACTGTAGGAGGGGAAGGAGCACGTGCAGTGATGTCAATTCTTGATTTGTTCATTTATTTTAAGCTTTCCTAATGGAGTTATGTGGACCTTGACAGAGCAACTTAGTGATCTAGAATTAGCTGAAAAACTGCCCTCTAGCAAAACGTGAAATCAGTTGCAAGATAAATCAAAAATATATTTGATTGCTCATGGGTTCGCTCCCTGACAGAGCCAGACTTTTTTCATGAAGGACCTTGACTCTCCGGTCGACCCAGTCTTGAGTGGGTACCGGGTGCAGTCCTGGGAAGTCATGGTGGCCAGTGTGATGCTGGAAGGGAATAAAAACAAGAAGAAATTCCTGATCTTTCTTATGAGACCCCCACATTTAGAGTTGGATATATATCTGTTTAGGTTTCTTTCTGAAGCTTGTCAGTAATGGATCTTCTGCAGTGTTTGTCTTGCGGTTTTCTTGTACAGTAGTCTGCTAGTCTGTATCCTGACTATACCTTGATGTGTGTTCCTTTTGATCTATGATGTCCTCAAACTCTTCTGCTCTCAGCTGTTTCCTCTCTCATGGGATTTAGCAGATTACTATTTTGTGTGATGTAGCCATAATGGGGGGAGGGGGACACTGGGTCATTTTCATCTCATACTTGAGTGTAAATTGTATAGTTGGTAATTCTAGAACATCCTTATTTGAAATATTTGTTTCTGTTCAGAAATCTCAGCTCAGTCTTCTAAAAAAGACTTGCTAGAACTAAATTCACAAAACTAGACAAATTTCTGTGCTTAAACTAAATTCACTTAGGCTACACAGATTTCTGTGTAAAAACTACGTTTCAGGATTAGACAGAAACTAAACTTACAGCGCTAGACAGACTTTTAAGCTAAAACTAGACTGCTGCTATCAAGTAGCTGTGATTTCATCAAGCATTACCTTGGTACAACTGTAAGTGTTTTTAGTTTCTATTCGTTTTTGAGTGTTTAGTCTTATTCTGGGCATTGCAAACATACTTTATAATTCTGAAATACATAATTTGGCAGCGGGTCACTTTTGCATTAATTTTGACAGTAGTGTGCAGGGCCAACCATTCAAAAAACATTGTCAAAACTTCTTCTTCTTCAGCGTTATGAGCCCTTCAGGTTCATTGCTGCCAATATCACCCACCTTCAGTCATCTCTCTGGCTGACCTTCTATTTCCAGTTGGTGACACCAAGTGTTTGCAGGTCTGTCTGGGCATTATCTCTCCATCGTCTTCTTGGTCTGCCTATTGTCAGACTACTAAACTTAAAATGAAAATTAGCTGGTAAAATCGCAAACAGACAAATAACAAATGCTGATGTTGTTTCTGCAACATCCTGTAAAGGATATGCAGCGGACTTTGAATGTTTTTCTTCAAATAATTTAATTACTTTTGAACAAGTTCTGCCTGTTATCTATGTGATTTATAACAATTTAACAGGCAATAAACCAAAACAGCAATTCAGCTTCTGTGAAAGTTAATGTTTATGTATATATATATATATATATATATATATTTTTTTTTTTATTGCAGAGAGCCATCCGACTGTAAGTCCCCAAAGGAAGAAGGGCGGATGGTCTCTCCAAGCTCCTGCATTCAGGTGGTTCCACTGGGAGGCTCGGGAGAAAGTTCTAGTGGATCGGCACACCTACAAGCAGCCACCTCTACCACACCCGAATCTGGTACTGGCTCTCACCCTCACAACTTTTTGTTGGATGTACATAGTGCGGGAATTAGTGCCAGCCCCCCGTCACACATGAAACAGGAGATTGGAGGTGCCAGTGAGTAAACTTTGTCATCATCATTATCATCACCTTCACCGTCTTCCATGACATGATTGTGCACCTGGGAGAAGGTGCCCTTAAGAAACTCCTCCATTTTTCTAACTGTCTGGAAACTTAACAGTCTCACAGATATGGAGAAAGGTGTTCATTATCATCATCATCTTCGTCACCATCCACTTTTTTCATCAAGTATTGTGGGTAGGAGATGTTCGCTATCTAACCCGATGACCAAGGGAAAGCCGGTTTTTCTGGCTATTACAGATTTTTGATAACATGAAGTCTTTGGACAGTGGCCACTACACTTATATAACAGTTTTAGTACAGGTTGTCACTACACTTATACAACAGTTTTGGTACAGGTTGTCACTACATTTATATAACAGTTTTTGGTACAGGTTGTCACTACACTTATATAACAGTTTTGGTACAGCTTGTCACTACACTTATATAACAGTTTTGGTACAGGTTGTCACTACACTTATATAACAGTTTTGGTACAGGTTGTCACTACACTTATATAACAGTTTTGGTACAGGTTGTCACTACATTTATATAACAGTTTTGGTACAGGTTGTCACTACACTTATATAACAGTTTTGGTACAGGTTGTCTCTACAGTTTTGGTACAGGTTGTCACTATGCTTATATAACAGTTTTGGTACAGGTTGTCACTACACTTATATAACAGCTTTGGTACAGGTTGTCACTACACTTATATAACAGTTTTGGTACAGTTGTCACTATACTTATATAATAGTTTTGGTACAGGTTGTCACTACACTTATATAACAGTTTTGGTACAGGTTGTCACTACACTTATATAACAGTTTTGGTACAGGTTGTCTCTACATTTATAAAACAGTTTTGGTACAGCTTGTCACTACATTTATATAACAGTTTTGGTACAGGTTGTGACTACACTTATATAGCAGTTTTGGTACAGGTTGACACTACATTTATATAACAGTTTTGGTACAGGTTGTCACTACATTTAAATAACAGTTTTGGTACAGGTTGTCACTACACTTATATAACAGTTTTGGTACAGGTTGTCTCTACAGTTTTGGTACAGGTTGTCACTACACTTATATAACAGCTTTGGTACAGGTTGTCACTACACTTATGTAACAGTTTTGGTACAGGTTGTCACTACACTTATATAACAGTTTTGGTACAGGTTGTCATTACACTTATGTAACAGTTTTGGTACAGGTTGTCACTACACTTATATAACAGTTTTAGTACAGGTTGTCACTACATTTATATAACAGTTTTGGTACAGGTTGTCTCTACATTTATATAACAGTTTTGGTACAGGTTGTCTCTACATTTATATAACAGTTTTGGTACAGGTTGTCACTACACTTATATAACAGTTTTGGTACAGGTTGTCACTACACTTATGTAACAGTTTTGGTACAGGTTGTCTCTACATTTATATAACAGTTTTGGTACAGGTTGTCTCTACATTTATATAACAGTTTTGGTACATGTTGTCTCTACATTTATATAACAGTTTTGGTACAGGTTGTCACTACACTTATGTAACAGTTTTGGTACAGGTTGTCACTACACTTATATAACAGTTTTGGTACATGTTGTCTCTACATTTATATAACAGTTTTGGTACAGGTTGTCTCTACATTTATATAACAGTTTTGGTACAGGTTGTCACTACACTTATATAACAATTTTGGTACAGGTTGTCACTACATTTATATAAAAGTTTTGGTACAGGTTGTCACTACACTTATATATCAGTTTTGGTACAGGTTGTCACTACATTTATATAAAAGTTTTGGTACAGGTTGTCACTACACTTATATAACAGTTTTGGTACAGGTAGTCACTACATTTATAAAACGGTTTTGGTACAGGTTGTCACTACATTTATATAACAGTTTTGGTACAGGTTGTCACAACACTTATATAACAGTTTTGGTACAGGTTGTCTCTACATTTATATAAAAGTTTTGGTACAGGTTGCAACTACATATGTAATCTGTATGATTTTATTTACGAAACCTTTTAATTTTTTGCGCGATTATTTAAAGTAAGAAAAAAAATTATGTTTAAAAAAAAAATCATTGTGTCAGTTTGTGGTGGCTGAACTCCATGTCAGAAATCAAGAGAGTTGCATACAATAGAGTGGAATGGAGCCATTGAATGTGGGCCGTGTGTGACATCTGATAGCACATAAAGTGTGATGATGGTCTTAAAATAAACCTATAATGGTGTCACTTTGTTTCCCTGTGGCTGTGTCAACAAAACTTAAAAATGTTGAATGTTTAATTAAGAATCGGCATCACAGCACTCTGGAAACCCCCAAAAGCGCTCCGTCCCCATCTTCAGCAGCAAGCGAAGAGTTAAAATTCTGATAGTACCATTAACTGTCTGATTGTATAGCTGTCTCATCTTTCCCCTGAGTGTCAAGCGCAGGCCAGATCCTCTTGTAACTCTGCGTAGTGCCATTCTTCTCAGAGCGTAATGATCTATCTGTTCCTCAACATTCTTGACTCGCTCCCAAAAGGCCCTCACAACATCCAGCTTGTCATACATCAGTTCACCACCAAGTGGTGCAGAACCAGACATTCTATCTGCCACTCATTTCTCAAGGAAGTCGCCGTGGCTGAGCGGCTAGACGCTCGCCGTGGATCGGAAGGTCGTGGGTTCGCTCCCTGGCGGAGCCGGACTTATTTCAAAAATGACCTTGGCTCCCAGGTCGACCCAGCCTTGAGTGGGTACCGGGTTCAGTCTTTATTTAAACTGACAGTGACTCAAACTTTCTTCTGCTGCTTCCTCTTCTCTTCTTCTAGCATCTTAAAGTAGAGTATCAGAGCATTTTAATCAAGCATTAAAAAAAATTTTTTTTTAAAAGCAAAATTTAAATGAAAATAATTGGTATAGTTGGAGAAAAGAAGAGACAAAGTCACCAGCCAAAGATTAAGAACAATGATAGTCACAGTACCAGTAAACGATTTCATAGGACATTGGTGAATCAAATGGTTCGCTCATGTGATCAGATGATTTCATCGAACATTGGTGAATCAAATGGTTTGCTCATGTGATCAGATGATTTCATAGAACATTGGTGAATCAAATGGTTTGCTCATGTGATCAGATGATTTCCTAGAACATTGGTGAATCAAATGGTTTGCTCATGTGATCAGAATCGAACAGCTAGAGCGTCCTACATGAGAACAGCAGGCTGCAATTCATGGGGCCCACACACACAAAATGGGTGGTGGAAGTAAAAGAAGCACCACAGAAACTTAATAGGGTATTAAAACAAGCTAAACAACTTGCAAAAGACAGGAAACTACAACTAAATCCTCTCTGAGACATTTTACGGCATAAACAATAGGGTACAAGAAGAAGAAATAAACGGCAGTACCTGTATGCAAGTCATGGAATTTTGACAAGTTTGTGCGCACATACGCACGCACATATACACACACACACACTGAAGAGAAGACTGAAAATCATAGCTTTTGAACCCAATGTTACAGGAAGACTTTTGAATTATCATAGCCCAAGAAAAGAAAATTACTAACATTTCTCAGATTCTGAACATAGAGAGGGACTAGCTTTTAGACAGTATCATTTCTCAGCAACTGACATGTGTAGCGTCATAGTGGCCTTCAGAGAATAGTAATAGAAGGTAAGGTGCCCTCAAGACAAGGCAGAGTCAGCCAACAGGGCAGTGAATACAGGATATCAGGGACAGCCCGGACATGAAAGTTCACCAGGCAGGAAATTTGGCAGACACTTGAGTGACACAAACATTAGTCAGTAATGCCCATATTGCAGTCATTTAATTTGTCAGTACAGCTAGAAGTTAGATGCAGGAAATTGTGCAGACATTCCTGTCATTTTCATCAAGTTAAAGAACTCAGGCAGGTCTGGCAAACCGGTAGAAGGTTTAAACTGCACAGTGGTATCCAGGAAGAATTTAGGAGATGTGTGTGGATGGGAACCAAGTTAAAATAAAGATCAACTTATACAGGGCCCCCTCCAACAGTACTTTTAGGGATGTAACTGAAGGAAGGGAAGAATAAGATGAAAAGTAGCTTTTTAGTGTGTGATGATACCGATCTACTACGTAAGGGGTCCAGGGCCCCATTTAGGGGAGAGGAAAAAGACTAAGCCCACTGTGTGTTGAGTTGAGTTGAGTCAAGAATTGACATCACAGCACTCGGGGCATTCCCATGCATGCTCCGCCCTCATCTTCAGAAGCCAGCGCAAGGTTCCAATACTGATGGTACTGGTCACAATCTGGTTAAAGGTCTGTCTTGCCTTTCCTCTGAATGTAGTCAACCGGCCAGATCTTCTGATTACACCCAGGTGCCTCATTCTCTCCAGGCCATAATAATCCTATTTCTCCACTGAATCCCCTAACAGGCATGTCATACAAAGCGACTCATTAGGGATAGTTTCCTTCGAAGCCAAGAGTGCAATTGTCTGGCAGGCCAGGAACTGGCAGTCTGCATTTCAATAAGCCAAATGTGTAAAATGGATATGCATGCTAAACCCCAGTTCTGAAGCAAAACCAAAGTCAAGAAGTTGATGAACAACAAGAACTTTCTGCCTGAGTTTGCAGCCAGTGAACACGAAGAAGATGATAGTGATGAAACAACTATAAAAGGGAAACAAGAAGTATGGAGTCTAATGTGCAGGACTTAACTAGATTGGAGCAACAGCTTGAGAGAGAGGAAAAGTAATCTCTGGCTTATACAGAGACAGTGAAATAACAATGTTAATACATGCAGTGTTTGTGTAAAATTCCTTTCAGTTTTAACAGTTACAAAAAACACACAAGTTTGTGGCAAGCAATGTTTGGAATAATAACTCAAGCAGATTAATTAAATCAGTGGTTGTTTGAGTTGTGCAAGGTCCGACAATTAAGTAATGAGGCTGATTTTATTATGGCCAAGACAAGAAAGCCATCTATGAAGTGAAGCATGGAATCTAAAGAGGCAACATTCATCTATGATCTGGCAACTTTTCATCACTGCTGGATAAGCAGACAACAAACAAGCCGCAATTTTGTTAACCCAGTCAGAGGTGCATTGTTACAAAATCAGCACGGAGCAAAAATATAACATTAAATTCTTTTTAAAACTCAGAAAAGTGCCACTGAGACAGTTGAATTGATGCAACAAGTTTATGGTTATAAATGTCTGCCTAATCGTGTAAAGGAGATCGGGTAGGTGGTTGTTCTCTTCTGGGATTGCAGACTGTAGGATTAAGTGCTCAAGGATGATAATAAAATGCGCCCAAATCCCGGAAACCTTGTTCAACCTCATAAAACAGTTATAAAAAACCAAACAGGGAAATAAAATGGGTGTTACTGCAACACTTCATCTATCAGAAACAACTCTCCAGCCACATCTACTTTGTAACCTCTAAGCAGCAGCAGAGGTTGCATTAGTTGAAAACTGTAATTTTATGACATTGGGTTTAACAAACAGAAACTGCTATCTATATTTGATTTTGTTTCATGTTTGGTTAGCTGTCAGCGGGGCCGTGAACCAGCTGCCCCTGTTTTTGGTGGGTCGCGGGTGTAAACAGTTTGAGGAACACTGGTGTAGATCACTGTGCCTGTGTGTTTACTACTACTTTGTCACTTCCTGGTCTGTTAGTGCCAGCATTTGGTGCATGTATCGATTGGTATGTTTTGTAGAAGTGGATCTCTAAAATGAACAGTTTGTTTTCTTTATTTGTAATAGAGTAAAGGATTCATTTCTTTACCATTGGCCATCTTGGGTATATGATGCTAGTTCCCTGGTGAAGTGGTCAAGTTGTTTGCCTCATTCTCTGGACTGTGTGGGTTTAATTCATGGACGCGCCATTCGATCTTGAGTGCAGTTTACCGGGATCCCTGTGAATTGTTGTTGAAGAGAATTGTTTGTGAAGAGTTTGTGCTTTGTGCGACACTCGGCAGGCAGCTAGCCCTTCTGCGGGGGAAGACTGTGCCATATGAAATAAAAGCCAGTGCAGTGAAGTCAATCTTGCCAACTTTAACTTATATTAACCCTTAATTCTCCATACCAGTGGAGCATAAGCCCTCTACCAACTCATGTCAAGTTGTCTTAACCATTGCGGTTGCCTTCAGCTCACCAAATGTTCTCCCCGTGTTTGTAGCTTGACTCTCTAGCACCCTACTCCATGTGTTTGGGGTCTGCCTTTATTACCATGCTCTGTGGGTTCCAGCTAAAGCACTTCAAGCTATATTTTTCTCAAGTTCCATCACCTCTTGATTCACTGGAATTAATAATTATCATCCTTTTGTGTGTTTGTACATCACATAGTGGGCTGGCAGTTTTGTCTTACATACCCTTCTGTCTTGTGGAAAAGGGAGGGGGGGTAATGGATACTTTTAGTTTTTATGAAATTGTCTTTTAAATCTGGTAGTCTTAGTTTCAGCTTCATAGCAAACGGGTCACCCCATCTTTGCTCCGCTCCTGTGCCAACGAAAAACACACAGAATGTTTATCACAGTATTAGAATTGCAGTTCATCATTGATGGTAGCAATGTCTTTTGAATGCTTTTATTTGTATGCTTGTCCTTTATAAACACAATAACAGCATGATTCCTGTCTTCTTTCTGCCTTTGTTTCACAGAAAATTATCCAGCTTCCGTTGAATCAGACTTAGCCTACCACAGAATCCAAATGTTGAATGGAGTTGATTTTTATGCTACCATTTCCTTGTGCGGGGGATCCAGGGTTCCATTAAAGTGGGTGGGGGATGAATAGACCCACTGCTTCTAAACAGCGTGTTGTAAAAGGCAGCTAATTAGGAGTTTGCTCAACTCAGGTGTTTTGGGCCAAAAAATCAATTATCGCAGCCTAGCTGTAAACTAGAATACCACATCCCAGTCGCCCTTTTGAGGGTAAACACAGAAGAAGATAGTACCTCTGCAGCAGATTTAGCTTTGGTCACTACATTGGCCTATCAGATAACTACCATACAAGTGATTAGTAAGGATTATCTTCATAGCACTCCAGACAGATCCATGGGTGCTCCGATCTCCTCCTCAGAAGCTCCACAAGTGTAAAATGACTGATGGTGATGATGATGATGCCTATTCTGTGTTGATTAATTAAACGTCTGGTCCCCTTGGCGAAATGTTCACTTCTTGCAACATGAGGCTGCACCCCCATGTCACTCTGTCTAAACAAGGATATGGAGTTAGGTTTTTTGCTTCGATCTTCTTTATGATGCATGCTGTGCTTGATGTTGTTAGTAAAGTAAGTAAAGATCCCTTTTCAGGCCTTAGGTGCATCGGGCAAATGGGAAGAGCACCCATATTTTAACAGACCTAATCAGCACTAGGTGGGTAGTGTGGTCAGCATTACACCGGCTGTCTTTACTTTCCCAGGACATACATCCTGGTACCTATTTTAGGCTGGGTCCATATCATGAAAAAAATCCATGCCACCAGCAGTGGGTTTCGATCGCGGTATGCTGGAATTACGAGTCAGGCTTGCAACGCCTAAGCCACGGATGCCACGCATGGTGTTGATAATGTGGCTTCTATCCAGTACGTGGCCACACGGGAATGGCTGTAGTATAATAATACATATGATAACTAACATCGGGAAAAGAAACCTGGATCCTGGCTTCTTTCTAATGTATTTCACTGTTTGTTTTCAGTGCCAGGTAGTAGCATTCAGGCCAAATTGTGCCAGGTCTGCAACGACAATGCTTCGGGCTTTCATTACGGTGTTTGGTCCTGTGAAGGATGTAAAGCTTTTTTCAAAAGAAGTATACAAGGTAAGCAGCATGTTATCCTTTGTTTGGCTCGTATGTTGTATGTCATATTACACTTAAATGTGCAGCTTCAAATTTGTGATTGTGGCAGTGGGGTCATTTGCTAAGTGGGTATGAGGGCTAGAGCAAAATCAACCTCTGATTGGCTGGAAAATATAAACCGTTTGTCCTAGCAACACTGTTCATTGCTTGTATCATTCAGTAGTCTTTTAGCTCACTACATATCAACCTTCAGGTGTATTTTTTCAGTGGTTCACGAATCATAAACGAATAAAAATGGACACTGTTATTGCTTCTCCCGTTGATATAACATCATTAATAAATTCACAATACTTTAAGGCACTTTAAGCAGGGAGCTACTTTATGATAAAGTAGACATGGTACAAGCTGTTTGAGTTCACATGGGGAGTGCAAATGTAACAGAGTTATCCATACCTTGAAAGACTGTATCAGCGGGGAGTTAACAGATCTGTAAGGTTTTCATTATGCAGAAAAAAAAATACAGGTGGACTGAAAAGCACAGCTGTCGCAGCCTAGCTATAAATCAGGTTGCAGCTGGCACCATTGGTATGGGAACTAATTTGTTGGCCACTGAGGATGGGTATGGAGCATGTGTGGGAATGCCCTAGATGCAGTGGCGTCAATTCTTGATTGATTCATTTATCTATTTGGGTACAGCAGGTTCCGATCCTGGCGAGGCTACAGAATAGCATTTAATTGTTACATTGCTTAGTGCATTCACTAATCCAGTAGTCTCCTACCTTTTCCAGAACCCCCTGAGTATTTTGCCAGGCCCCCCTTTCCTTAAAGTATGTGGCACGTATGTGCCTCACACACCCCCCCCCCCCCCCCCCCCCCCCCCCCCACCCACTTCCTCCCAGGCATAAAAAATGTGCTATAGCAAAATTATATTTTTAATAATATACAAACTCTGCGTGAACACAAAAATGTCCTTGTCGTTTTGTTTGATAAATAGTTTTTACAAATATTTTATTTATGTTTAAAATTGTTTGATGCTCCCCCCCCCCCCCTCCCCCTTTTCCATTGAAACATCCCCCTTCTTGGGGCTTGGGCTCGCCAGTTTGGAGACCACTGCTGTAATCTCATCTTCATGAATGCAGTCAGTATTAGCAGTTTTCATCTGTCTGCATATGATGCTACCTAAAGGCCAGTTTCTGTGGCTTAGGCGGGGGTTAGTTTTGCAGTGTCCTTTAAAAGACAGTCGTCTTGTTATTTGTTAGAGGCACCTTCTATATTGCAGTCGCTATTTACTTGTGCTTGCTTGCTGGTCTAGTCTTAGGAGTAAATCAACACCAGTTGAAATTTTTATTTTTTTTTATTTGTTTAATGAAATGATTACTGCTCCCACCTTAAATGGGGTGCCAGGAATTATCTTAGGCAGTAAAGGTGGCCGATGTTGACCACATAACACATTGAGTGCCAGTTTGTCTCAGTTTTTTACTCATGTCATCCTTCATGATTCCTTCATTTTTTTTAAATATTTTTTTTCAATTAAAGAAATCAGCGAGACAAAAACTGCTTACACAAAAGTTTTGAATGGAAGTAGACTGAGGCAGAGCGAGAAAAGACGGTGGAGAGATTATATACAGGCAGACCTACAAACACTTGGAGACACCAGCTGAAAAGAGAAGGCCAGTTGCAGAGATAAATTGAGGCAGGTGATATCTTCAGCAGTGAACCTTAAATTTTCAGAATGCTGAAGAAGAAGATTGGCCCGTGCTTTTGGATCAGAACTTTCTCATATGTCAAATTACCAGCTGAGTGAAACCACCTGTGAAAAGGTTTGCTTTTATTTCACATCAGACAGATACAAATCTCTTGTAACCCTAGGGATTAGGGCCTGATGTTTTTGAATCATTTGTTTCTAACAGGTCCTGTTGATTATATCTGCCCAGCGACTAACACATGTACTATAGACAAACACAGACGCAAGAGTTGCCAGGCATGCCGATTACGCAGATGCTATGAAGTTGGAATGAACAAAGGTGAGTGGTTATATGAAGATTGGAATTAACAAAGGTGAGTGGTTATATGAAGATTGGAATGAACAAAGGTGAGTGGTTATGTGAAGATTGGAATGAACAAAGGTGAGTGGTTGTATAAAGATTGGAATGAACAAAGGTGAGTGGTTGTATGAAGATTGGAATGAACAAAGGTGAGTGGTTATGTGAAGATTGGAATGAACAAAGGTGAGTGGTTGTATGAAGATTGGAATGAACAAAGGTGAGTGGTTATATGAAGATTGGAATGAACAAAGGTGAGTGGTTATATGAAGATTGGAATGAACAAAGGTGATTGATTATATGAAGATTGGAATGAACAAAGGTGAGTGGTTATATGAAGATTGGAATGAACAAAGGTGAGTGGTTATGTGAAGATTGGAATGAACAAAGGTGAGTGGTTGTATAAAGATTGGAATGAACAAAGGTGAGTGGTTGTATGAAGATTGGAATGAACAAAGGTGAGTGGTTATGTGAAGATTGGAATGAACAAAGGTGAGTGGTTGTATGAAGATTGGAATGAACAAAGGTGAGTGGTTATATGAAGATTGGAATGAACAAAGGTGAGTGGTTATATGAAGATTGGAATGAACAAAGGTGATTGATTATATGAAGATTGGAATGAACAAAGGTGAGTGGTTATATGAAGATTGGAATGAACAAAGGTGAGTGGTTATATGAAAATTGGAATGAACAAAGGTGAGTGGTTTTATGAAGATTGGAATGAACAAATGTGAGTAGTTATATGAAAATTGGAATGAACAAAGGTGAGTGGTTATATGAAGATTGGAATGAACATAGGTGAGTGGTTATATGAAGATTGGAATGAACAAAGTTGAGTGGTTTTATTAGGATTGGAATGAACAAAGGTGAGTGGTTATATATAGATTGGAATGAACAAAGGTGAGTGGTTATATGAAGATTGGAATGAACAAAGGTGAGTGGTTATATGAAGATTGGAATGAACAAAGGTGAATGGTTATATGAAGATTGGAATGAACAAAGGTGAGTGGTTATATGAAGATTGGAATGAACAAAGGTGAGTGGTTATATGAAGATTGGAATGAACAAAGGTGAGTGGTTGTATGAAGATTGGAATGAACAAAAGTGAGTGGTTGTATGAAGATTGGAATGAACAAAGTAAGTGGTTATATGAAGATTGGAATGAACAAAGGTGAGTGGTTATATGAAGATTGGAATGAACAAAGGTGAGTGGTTATATGAAGATTGGAATGAACAAAGGTGAGTGGTTATATGAAGAGTGGAATGAACAAAGGTGAGTGGTTATATGAAGATTGGAATGAACAAAGGTGAGTGGTTATATGAAGACTGAAATGAACAAACGTGAGTGGTTATATGAATTTGGAATGAACAAAGGTTAGTGATTATATGAAGATTGGAATGAACAAAGGTGAGTGGTTATATGAAGATTGGAATGAACAAAGGTGAGTGGTTGTATGAAGATTGAAATGAACAAAGGTGAGTGGTTATATGAAGATTGGAATGAACAAAGGTGAGTGGTTATATGAAGATTGGAATGAACAAAGGTGAGTGGTTATATGAAGATTGGAATGAACAAAGGTGAGTGGTTATATGAAGATTGGAATGAACAAAGGTGAGTGGTTGTATGAAGATTGGAATGAACAAAGGTGAGTGGTTGTATGAAGATTGGAATGAACAAAGGTGAGTGGTTATATGAAGATTGGAATGAACAAAGGTGAGGGGTTATATAAAGATTTGAATGAACAAAGTTGAGTGGTTTTATTAGGATTGGAATGAACAAAGGTGAGTGGTTATATATAGATTGGAATGAACAAAGGTGAGTGGTTATATGAAGATTGGAATGAACAAAGGTGAGTGGTTATATGAAGATTGGAATGAACAAAGGTGAATGGTCGAAGTAAACTGAAATCATCATCATCAAGTGCCTTGCCAGCTAGAGTAGGTGTTCATGCATCTCCACAGATGTCTGTCTTTTGTGCTCTGGATCAATTCCACTAATGATGTTCCTCCAAGCCACTGTCTTAAGCCATCCACCCTCTTGTCTCTTGATCTGCCTCTGCCTGTTCTACTAGTGACCTTTTCTGTCATCACAATATTTTTCTGTGCTCCTTTTCTCAACACACGACCAAAGAACTTTGTCTCCTTCTTGTTGTTGTTTATAATGTCTATTAAATGATGTATAATGCAAGATGACAATGCTTATTTAATAATTTATTATGGAACGTGACAACGTTTATATGTTAGTGCATGATGAACAATGATTCTATCTAATTTAATAGATTAAACCTACAATATGACAATGTTTATGCTATTGTGGATAATTCTTTCATTTTTTCTTTTAAAAAAAAATAATAATAGCCAAATCAAAAGCATGTAACAAACTAGTTCTACTTGAGCCAAAGGCAGACACAGTTACCCCTCCAGAAAACTCGCAACAGACTTCAGAGTAGAGCCAAAATGCTTGAGGAAAGAAAAGTTAAAAACAGCAAAATTGTTTTCCTTTGTGACTGCATGTCAGTCCTCCAGGCGACTCAGAGGGATCCACAAGACAGCATGGAGAGAGAACTGACCCGCCAGCTAAACAGACTCGCAGAAAACAATCAGATCGTTCTTCAGTGGATCCCGGCTCACTGCGGCAAACCAGGAAATGAGTTAGCAGACAGACTTGCTAAAAATGGAACAAACAACACACCCATCCATTGTCGGTACCAGAAATCAGAACACTAAACAAGGGAAAATACAAGGAATTGTGGACAAAACAAATTAAACATCCACAAGACCTTATCAGCAAACTCAGCAGAAAGCAAAATACAGTAATTTTCTGCAAACGGGACACTGCAGGCTCAACTTCCACATGCATAAAATAAAGATTGTACAGTCCCCACAGTGTGCCTGTCAAACAGGACCACAAAAACCTCAGCACATTCTGCAGACCTGCCCCCTCTACCTACAACTTCGAAAAGAAACCTGGCCTCAAGAGCAAAGTGTGCAGAGCAAGCTATGGGGAACCATGCAGAACCTGCAGCTGACATGCGAGTTCATAGAGGCAACCCACCTGATAGTCTGAGCTGAACATACAAAACCGAAGGCAAAGAAGAAGAAGAAGTAGTATACAATAGACAGGCTTGATTATAACATCTAAACTGAAATAGTTTGTAATATTATATTTTCACCAATAGATATGTGAGTAGCTGTTAATGTATGTCTATTTTCTCTGTCTTTATTACGTGACTGTTAGAAGTCAGCAAAAGTCTTGATAAAGCAAACATTTATGTTGTGAGATGGTTTTGCATGTCTTGTCAATCTATTGATTTGCAGACTGAAGGCAGATCCATAAGTTATGCTTTATCCATTGGAGGCATTATAGGAAGTTTAAGAATATTCTTCTTCTTCTTCTTTTTCTTCTTCTTCTTCTTCTTCTTCTTCTTCTTCTTCTTCTTCTTCTTCTTCTTCTTCTTCTTCTTCTCTTTCTCCTTCTTCATCTGCTTTTTCTTCTTCTTGTTCTTCATCCTCGTTTACTTCTTTTTTCTTTGCATCTTCTTCCTTTTTTTCTTGTTCTTCATCCTCTTTTTCTTCTTTTTTCTTCTTCATCTTCTTCCTTTTTCTTGTCTTAATTTGCTTCTTCTTCTTGTACATTTTTCTCCTTGTTCTCCTCTTTCATCTTTTACTTTTCCTCTTTATCTTCATAACCTTTAACATTTTCTTCTGCTCTTCCTTCTGAGAGGCAATTAACCAACAGTGTGCACAAATATGTCAGATTTGTAAAACAAATGTGCACACAAAACTCAGGTTCTGGGACTAGTCTAAAGTACAGGGTTGGATAAGCAACCAGAACTTTTTGCCGGAGTTTACAGCCAGTGAACGCGAAGAAGAAGAAGAAGATATATGTCACACATACATACATGGATGCATACAGTTGGTGATCTCTGTATGACTCTGCATAACGCATTGAGGGGTAACTGTGTCTGCCTTTGAATCAAGGAAAACTAGTTTGTTACATGCTTTTGATTTATTTATTTTTAGAAAGTAAGAAACAATGATCCATAATAACATAAACATTGTCATATTGTAGGTTATACTATTCAGTTAGACAGAATCATTGTTCATCATGCACTAACATATAAAAATTGTCACCTCGCATAATAAATTATTAAATAAGCATTGTCATCTTGCATTATACGTCATTAAATAGACATTATTGCCTTGTAGGTTTTAATGTTTGATTATACGGAATCATTGTACATCATACACTATCATTCTCATCTTGTGTCACCCGACATTTTATCAACTTTGTCACCTGACACTGTTACACAGAACCTGCAACCTTGCATTCACAGGAAGTCAAAGAAAAGAGAGGAAAAACAGTGGTGCCACAAGTGGGTTAAAGGGCAAAAGGTGTCGAGCGGATTCGTCAGACTCTGCTATAAACTCCACCAATAATGGAGCCTCATCTTCCAAGGTATGCCCTTCTGAGTCTTCTGCCTCCCCTTCCCCTCAGTGTAGCTCCTACTGTTTTTTCTTTCGTAACTTTCAGTTTCATGTTAAGAACACACACCTGGATAGATCTTTAATGTGTGTGTTTTATACATGGCAGTCTTCTTCTTCTTCCTCCTCCTCCTCCTCCTCCTCTTCTTCTTCATCTTCTTTCCCCTCCTCATCTTTCTCTTCTTCCTCTTCCTCATCTTCTTCTTTCTCTTTTGATGTCACACAGTTATTAGTCAGTCATCCTGTTGAAAAATAATAATTTTATTTTTTACTATTCTCTTTTTTTTTTTTATTATCTTTCACAGGATGTTGCAGACCCATCCTATAATTTATTGGCTGTTTGTGATTTCTCTGAGCAATTTAACAGTCAGTAGTTTGCCATTGCTTTCTTAACAGTCGGTTCTAGAAACCAATGTTGAAACCAATGCAAGTCACTCTGCTGCCAAATCATCCGCAGCTGGGATCGAACCCAAAACCTCAGAATTATGAAGCGCGTTTGCAACACACTTGTATCTGTTATTATGTTTCCAAGATAAATGATGGTATCAGTAAATAACATATTTTTCTCCCAAAAAATTAAATAGAAATTGGGGTGGGAGGGTGTGGTGGGTAAATTCGCTTTTATCTAGCGAATGCACTATGTGCAATCTACAGAGGGAATCAAAAACATTGAACATCCTAATAGATTATATATCTCCCAGCCTTGCTGGTTAAAGGAGAGGATTTAGGGTTTGCCCACATCTGATTCCCAACTGTTATATAAATGGTATACTTAAATGTTCTAAAGTTCACTGACACAAATGATTAGTTAAAATAAACTCCAAAAACTGGAAGAACAATTAAAACAATCGTGTATTGAAATTGGAAAAGTCAAACTAATAAGTAGACTGGCTGTGGAGATTAAATGAGTTCCTGATAATGGATGGGGATAGTAGACAAATCTGTCCACTTAGCTGTAGCTCGGGTTCTTTTGGTCAGCTTTTAGCTAAGCCTCGGAGACATGTCAGGCAGGTCAAATCTTCTAGTCCAGTCTAGACAATCGGGCATCTGCAGCTACGCTGGAATTTACTTCTGGAACTTCCACCTGGACCCCTGGTAGGGAATTCAGACAGACAGTTAGACTACAGACTGACTACCAACTTTAGTCTGTACTGGTCAGTGCCTGATTTGAAAAGGAAGTCGGAAGTCCTAAAAAGTGGGAAGTAACTCTTAAATTAATTTTCCTACTCGTCTTTCATATCTTTCAACTCTTTAATTAATTAATTAATAATATTGCTGTAATGAAGAAAAAGAAAACGGTAAGAAAATATAATAATATTACTTAAACAAAGCAAAACTTATAAGGGAAGAAACAGCTGTCCATACCAGACAGCTCATCACAGGGGGGGGGGGGGGGGGGGGGGGGGGGGGGGGGGGTCTTCACCTTGAGAAAAATAACATTATTCACTTTATTGTTAATGCTTATTTTGTGTATCCCATATTTGCACAGGCTGCAAAGAGGTCCAGAAGTGCATCTATACTTGAAGCCCTACAGAAAGCCGACCTTCCAGTGCTGGAGAGCTACCACAACCACAGTCTGCCAGCAACCAGAGTACACCTTCTCAACACACTGATCAAACTAGCAGACAGGGAGCTGGTCTATTTAATCAACTGGGCCAAACATGTGCCAGGTACAACATGGACACACTTGAAACTGCCTGTATTTTTGTGTCATTTATTAGTTGGGATGTCCTGTTTCATAGAAAATTCTCCTCATGTGGTTTCCAGGGGCTCTGTTATGGGGGAAACAAGAATAGACTCAGTGCCTCCCCAAAAGCATGTTGTAATTGGGAGCTTTGTTCAAAGCTAGAGTGCGTCTGTGTGAAAGGCAAGGAACCTATGATTTGCATACAGATCAGTCAGATCTGTAAAATGGATGTGCACGCAACACTCAGGTTTTGGAGCCGGGTTAGAGTGCAGAAATGAACAACCAGAACTTTCAGCCGGAGTTTACAGCCAATGACCGTGAGGAAGATGAAGATACACAAATTTTCTTTTAACTGTTTCTTTTCTCGTGTAGTTGCCAGAGCCTATTTTTAGAGAGGGGAAGAAAGAATAGACCCACTGTCCTTTGACCTACTGCCCTTTGACCCGCTGCCCTTTAACAGGCATGTGGTAACAGGTGACTAATTAGGATTTTTCTTAAATTGGATATGTTGGACCGAAAGGGACCGATATTTTAGCCTAGCAGTAAACCGCAACGCAATTTGCCAACTTCCTTTTTAAGGATGAATGCAGAAGAAGAACAACAAGAATCTGCTGCTGTTTCTTCATCTGCTGTTTCTTCATTTGTCATTTCATAGAAACAGCAACAACAACAAAATAATTATAATTATACACCGAAACATTTTTGAGAGATGGGGGGTGATGGAGTTGTTGAGAAAAATAAAAGAAAGAAACAAGTGTTAGTTTTTAGCTGCATTAACAAATTTTAAAAAATACTGCTGTTATAAAAACATACTGAAAGGAGAAATTGAAGGCAGACATGTACAATGTAAACCATGATACATGTGGTATAATTAAGTTTTAACTTTATAAGATCGATTTTATTTCACCGGATTGCATCTTAGATGTCTTGATCTCAGATATCTTGATCTCTCTCAGCAGGATGGCTAGCTGGCTTCTGAGAGCACCATATAAATCACAAACTCTGTAGCAACACCGATTATCCACAGGGTACTGCATTACATTATGCTGATGGACCAAATGATGCAGTCCATGAAAAAACTCATGACTTCTGGAACATGTGGTCCACCGATTATCCCCAGCGTATTACATTATGCTGATGAACCAAATGACGCAGTCCATGAAACAAACTCATGACCTTCACAACGTATGGTCCACAGATTATCCCCAGGGTACTACATTACATTGCACTGATGAACCAAATGTTGCAGTCCATTAAACAAACTCATGACCTTTAGAACGTGTGGTCTGCCGATTATCCCCAGGGTACTACATTACATTATGCCGATGAACCAAATCATGCAGTCCATGAAACAAACTCATAACCTTCAGAAGGTGTGGTCCACATGTGGATTATGGGGTCTCGTGGGAGGGGTATAGACCCACTGCTGATCTCACAAGCATGTCATAAGAGATGACTGACTATTTATGTTTCCTTCAAAGTCAGAGTGATTCTGCATGAGCAATGAATAACCAGTTGTCTGCATACAGGTAAGCCAGATCTGTAGAACAGATGTGCAGGCAAAATTCAAGCTCTAGGAAGAGACTTAAGTCCAAAAGTGGATGAACAGCCAAAACTTTCGACTTAAATTTACAGCCGGTAAATGCTAAGGAGATGAAGATTAAGATGGTACGTCATCAGATTGATTGTAACAGATCATGCTATGTCCATGTTACAACAGCAGCACTCTGCTGTTGAAACAGAGCATGCTATGTCCACTTTAAAACCGCTGGTGAAACAGAGCATGCTTTGTCAACATTAAAACAGCTGGTGAAACAGAGCATGCTAGGTCCACTTTAAAACAGCTGTTGAAACAGAGCATGCTATGTCCACTTTAAAACAGCTGGTGAAACAGAGCATGCTTTGTCAACATTAAAACAGCTGTTGAAACAGAGCATGCTTTGTCAACATTAAAACAGCAGCTACTGAAACTGCATGCTATGCCCACATGAAGACAGCAGCTGTCTACTATTTCAGGCTATACCTGTCTGACACTGAGTGACCAAGTCCATCTCATTGAGTGTTGCTGGATGGAATTACTTCTTCTTAATTGTGCTTTCCGATCCATGGAGTACGAGGGACGTACGCTAGTGTTTGCCCCAGACTTTCATTTAGAAAGGTGAGTAGCAAATCTTATTTGTTTAGATTTGTTGAATTACAGCTGTCTTTGTTAAGTGTTGGTGCTCTTGGCTTGGAGGTTGGTATGGGCTTGTCAGGAGCAAGTGCCCCAACCGCCACCCACCCACCCACCCTTAAATCACAGGGGCTGTAGAACCCACGCAGGGAAATCTGTATTTGATAGGTGATGTCAGCATCTCCCTGAATTGATACTGTTGGTAGATAAAATTACCTTCAGGTCCAGTCTAACAGTTATAGCTCAGCATTGTCTACCATTGGGACAAGTATTACTCTTGTTGTGCTGTTGCCTCAGTGAATCAAAGGCAAAGAAAACCCATATTCAGCTTCATGGAAGGGATATAAAGTGTGTATATGATATGATCTCTGCCCGAAACATGAGAAAATTAGTATTTAAATGTTACATCTAGCCCGATCTGTTGAATGGTAGTGAACCTTGAAATGTGAGCAAACAAATTAAGAAGAGTTTGGAGGCAGTTGAGATGTGGGCATTTGATGAGAAAAGGAGCACTGGAAAATATTGTTGATGACTGGACAGATCAGTCGTAGCAGAGGCAGACCAAGAGAAACGATGATGGATGGCTTAAGACAGTAGAATGAAGGAATATCATCAGTGGAATTGATCAAAAGCACCAAAGACCAAGATCTGTGGAGATGCATGAACACTTTTGCCAGCTAGCAAAGCACTTGATGATGTAGCAGATGTTGATCAGGGTGCTTCTTCTGTTTATAGTCTAGGCTGTGTGGTGTTTGTCATTATGTCTGTCCACATCATTCAGTCTTGTTTACTGCTAGTCATTTCTGATACAGCTGTTCCTCCATGCTGTGATATTACTACTCGTCCTGCGCTCACCCTTAACTCTTTCAGTACCAAGGAACTCATCATGAATTCATTACTGACTCTTTGCCTAGTATACATTTATTTATTTATCCAATCCCATTCTTCTATTCGATTCGATTTGTAGAGAGAGAAAAAAATGTTGAAGTTCTGCAATATTCAACCAGCTTCTATCTGAGCAGCGGTTATATTATCAACTGGGTTTCTTTGTAGATTATTTTCAATTTAATCTTCCTTTGTGGTGTGATCTCACACCTGATTTTTGTTGTCTGTGTGTTTGTCTGGTGTGGTTCGGGCTGTAAGTTTTTCTGTTGCTGCGGTTTCTTTGCCCTTACAAAGGCTAGCTTTAGGCTGTTGGGCTTAATGTTGCATACTCCTGGCTCTTGGTCTCGTCTGGGTGGGTTTCTACTGGCTTTCTTGTTGATTTATGGCCATTTTCTCATGGTGTGTTGTGGCACATGACTAGTTTTGGTCTTGGTTGGCGGCATGTTGTCAGCTGCTGAGAGGGTATTTGGGCGTCTCTGGCATTAGTTTTTTGTGGTGGCGGCGCCTGCCGTGTTTTGATCTGAATTTTGACGATCGGCTTTGTGGGGTCCCTTGTTCGTCATCTGTTTGTAGAAATGATTTTAAGAAATGGTTGTCGAGTAGGACATCGATCTCTCTCTTTCCTCTTTTGGTTGGATCGTCATCATCTGGTAGATGTGTTGTCCAGCCTGTCTTGTCCGACCACTCTCCCGTGCGGAATTGGATCGTGCTAAGCAGTTCGGCTTTTATACTTTCCACTTGGGTTTCTAGTTGATTGATGTGTTTAACAGCCTGCAGTGCTTCTTCATCTGTGAATTGTCTATCGCCTGTTGGGGTTTCTGTCCCCAGGCCTTTGTGCTCCTGTGCTTTCTCCTCTGTTGTGGTGCTTTTATAAGTCCTGTTGACTTTTTGTTTTATTTTGTTGCTGCTTTGCTGGCTGAATCTCTTTATTTCTGTAATAGGACATGTTCTGTTCTGGCTGCTAGCTCTGCTGCTTCAGCGTCTGCTTTTGCCTGTACCAGCCGATTTACTTCTCTCTAAGCGGTTTTGTGCCTCTTTCAGTTCTGCCATCTCTTTCTTTCTCTCTTTTCATTCTACTTGTCAGCAGACTGCTTCCTTGTCCCGGGCTGACTTGAGTTGTGACAGTAAATCTTGGAGTTAATGGTTTGCTTCTGCAGTTTCTGCTAGCAAACTTGCTTTCTGTGCGGCTTGTGCTAACCTGTCTTTCTTCAGGGCTTCGATTTCTCCTAGCATGAGGGAGATCAGGTCTAGCATCTCAGTTTTGGCCTCGACCCAGTCAACTGTCTGTTTCTGGAAAGCTCTGAGGTGAATTCTCAGATCAGTGATTTCTTGTATTAGTTCGGAGTTTTTTGTGGCAGTGCATGCCTTATCAGAATTTCTTTCTATTGCTGGTTGTACAGACTGCTTTCTTGACTGTCTCTTTTCTTCTTGAAGCCTGGCCGGCCTGGGTACCTCAAATCTCTTTCTCGCTTCTGCGTATCTAATGTTTTCCATGACCGCTGTTGTGAGCGCCTTTTTGCGCTCCTGGAGATACGGGCAGCCTAGATATCTTGTGCGGAAAAATTGGTACACTTTCTATTGGCATTCGGCTTCTTAAAATCAGAGTAAATTTTTGCCTACAGGCACTCGTTAAAAGCGTGCGGCTTGGAACAGTATCAGTATGATAGGCTGCTGCGACAGGTTGCAACGGTGTGCCACACCTTCTGACAGCCTGAGCACCACAGTAGCTCAGTAACAAAGCTGTCCGGTTTCTGCTGCTTCTTTTTGAAGAGTACTTTAGTTGGCAGGCTGTGGATTATCGTTGTGATCACTGCAGTAGCTGAGTTTGTCTTGATTCTTTCGGTGTTAATGATTTCTAGATGCAGGTTCTTACTCATTTAAGGACCCAGTACCTCACACTTCTGTATAGACTGGTGGCAACGGCGATAGAAGATATCGTGAGGGTGCTGCAGGACTGGTGCAGCCCCTCTAGTGACATCTTGAGGAAGCCGCCACTTGGGTGACATCGTGGTGGCGCTGCTGCTCTGAAGCAGCCCCACTCTGAATGTAGCTCACCAGTTGTCAAGTTTTAGGTGTTTTATGTGTGCGAAACAGTTCACTTACGAAGCAGCGTCTCCAGCAGCTGTATGTTCATCATGGTTGTGAAGGCCAGCAGCTTGGCCTGGCCGTCATTGATCTGTCTGGAGAGCATCTGGACTGGAAACACTGCTGTTTTCTCTATGTCAGCAGGCTGGGTTGACTGGTTCGACCGGACTTGACAATTGCGGTCGTCATTTGGTTGAATAATAGGGACATCTGTGATGGAGGGCTCCACTACAGCTGGCTGCACCTCTAAAGCAGTTAGGCGTGAAGTTTTGTCATTGCTGGCCGACTTGCAGGGCTGAGCCTGCATGTCGGTCTTCTTCAGGCATGAAGACTTGTTACCACTGACCAACTCAGGGGGCTGAGTTGGCTGGTTGCCTTTTTTCTTGGCAACGCGGGCAGTCTGGTGCTTTTCAGATTTCTTGTTATGTGGCATGTCGCTAATCGGGTATTTGAACAAGCAAGCTTACCGTGCGACTTGACTTGTGGCGAGCTGAGCTGCGAATGGGTAAGAATTGTCTTTCTTCTGTTATTTTAACCCCTTATATTTCATTTTCTAATCTAATGACATCTGCTGCAAAGTTAAAGCAATTGGTGCTGTAAGAATTTTCAATGGTTTATAGTATAGACACTACAACTCTACCTGGGACTGAAAGAGTTACAACAGGCGGTTGGCACATTGTGTTGTGGTTTACAGCTATGCTGTGATATCAGTGTCTTCTGGCCCAGCACATCCAATTTCAGCAAAGTCTTAATTACTCACCTTTTATGAAAGGCTGGCCTACGAGAAGTCACACATTTGGGAAAATATTGACTGTCAATTTGCAACCATAACCAGACAGCATGAACCGAAATTTAAAAGGGGTGTGGCCAGATAAGCACTATGCAGGAAGCCAAAGAAGAGTAAGAAACCAACCCAGAACTGGTGTCATCAGCCGCTGCATGCTGCAGGATTTGCTAAGAGGAGATCCAAGCACTTTTATGGGCTAGATGGTTCGGTGTGCAATGAGGCTAATCTGTTGACTAACTGTTATAGACCTGTTCACCTTTCCAGGCCCAGAATTAGAGTAACTTCCCTTGCCATTCATGCCTTCTTAGATCGCTGGACCTCTCCTATGTTGCCGGGGTGTTATGAAATGGCTTGGTTTGGCTTTCGCTCTGCGTGTGTAATGTTTGTGGGAGGTTGTGTTGTTGTGAGTCTATTTCAGGCACCGCAGGCACCTGTGTACAACTAAGAAGTACAGCAGGGGAAAGCGCTGCAGGCGCGATGATTCTTGGCTATCAAAACTGGGATTTTATTTCAACGTCTGTTGACTGTGGCTCCTCTCCCTATCCCAAATCCCCCCTCCCCACACCCCCCCCCCCCCTTTCCCCCTTTTCTGAGAGAAAGAAGGCGTGTACACAGAGCGTAGGGATAGAAAAATATTGCTGTTTCCATACTCCTGAACCGTCGCACAAGTAGCAGAATGTGAAAATAATCACCCAGGCTAGCAGTGAGAGGACAAAAAAAGAGTCAATGCAACGGTTACACCATTCACAGTTAGGAAAATATGACTTCCATGCAACATAGGAGAAATCCAGTGAACTAAGGAGGCATGAATGGCAAGGGAAGCTACTCTAATCCTAGACCTGGAAATGTGAACAGCACCACTGTTATGACAGGCTTGTTAGTCGTCTGTTGTTTTTTCCTTCAAAAGGGACCCTGGAATGCTTGTGGAAAACCAGTTTACTAAACTGCCAAATATTTGATTTCTCGGTTTACCCCACTCTCTTTCTCTTATTGTCATGATGTAGTCCACTTTTCCCCTTTAAAATATGCATAAAGAATGAATTACTTCTTATGAAACATGTAACTAATACTGTTAGTGAGTTAATTTCCTTCAAGACATCTTCATTACATTTTTTATCAGTCCATGGTGTTTTCCTCATTTTTCAGGGTGCACAGAATAGTTTCCAGTGTTCAGAGAACAAAAATTAACATTAATATGAATGGTCGAAATGTAACAAATTTAAAAACATTTCACACAGAGTAATTAACTGTTGACAGCAAATAGGAAACTAGAGACTGTAATGACTTCTCCTTATGATCTGTACTGCTTGGTGTTGAGAGCCGCAGTAGAGTAGTGGCTATATGGTCACCTGCCAGCCTGAAGGTCTTGGGCTAGAATCTGCATCAAGGCAGATTTTTAAAGAAATAAATGTGAAGTTGACTTTAGCTTCCAGGTTGACCCAGCTTAAGATGTGTTCCAGGTAATGTGCATGGAAGTAAAGGCAGCAAGTGTGGTGTTTAGTCTATAAAAAATATGCATCTGACTTAATATGACTGATACACCATGTGCAAAAAAAAAGGTTACTTCACTTCTTCTTTTTTCATCCACTTGAAATAAATTATATCTGCATTGCTGTCTCTTGTATGAATTTTGGTTGCTTCACTTTTTCTTCTTTCATCCACGTGAAATAAATTATCTATGTCTGCAATGCTGTCTCTAGTATGAACTTCACGGTATTTTGTTATTCAGTTAGTGGCCTGTAAAGTTTGGCTTCAACCGCTCTTGCTCTTGGCCAGAAGTTTTGCCTGGAAATATTGTATTTGGAGGATGTGATCTGTTGTCTCAGGTGCCAGTGCACATAGCTGATTCACCAATCTTAAATTTGGTATACATGTGGCTGCGAAGTTGATTGTGACTTGTTCTAAGGCATAGAATAATGACTTACTCTGGTCCATAATATGCTAATCATCTTGTGCCAGTTTTGGTGGCTTTCTGACTGATTTGATTATTCTCTTCTTCTTATAAGAGACTGGTGCATCAGTGTGTTCTTCAATTGCACCTTTGTTAGCTAGTTTAACAGCTGTTTCATTTCTGGGAACCCCACAGTGGGATGGTATTCCACTGAATTATTACCCTACACCGGTTGCCTATTCCAGAGAGTAGTGTTCATATACCTGGTAAGTTTCCAGACTAGAGTGCCTGAAGCACCACTTTTGCATGTCAGAAATACCACTGGTTGTGAAATATACCCAGTATTAAGCCGTATCTCTGCTGCTATCTTGATGGCTTGAACTTCTGCATTGTTGTTGTGACAGTGCTTTCCTGTTGGTAGTGTGGCTGTATCCCTGGTATTATTACGTGTGTTTTTTGTTAGCACAGGAGCGGAGCAACTAAGATTACCAAGATTATGATGTTCAGTGTACACTCATGCACCTCCGTTTCTTATTGAATTTCATGCTGACCCGTGCGTGAAGACATGAACCCAAAGGTCCTGTGGGTAATCACCAAGTAAACTGAGGATGGCTGTTTTGCACTGTACACTTTTGATCTGCCTTGTCAAGTACTCCTTTCACTTCTGTCTGGATGTGTATTGGAAACATATTCCTTTCTCCAGGGGGTCTGTTTTGGAACAGCATTCAAAGGGCTAAAAGCCGCAGGCAGATCAGAGGTTTGTCTGCAGAGCTGTTTGGCCTGGTGGATGAAATTGCTCCTTTTGGTGCTTTACTTATTTGATGTTGGTCGTCATATGTGTCGTCTGCAGCCTTGAGTCCAGTCTGCTGCCAGACATTTCTAAAATAAATGTTCATCCATGTCATGATGTCTTCTTCATTTTCTCAGCGTTAACCAGCTGTAAACTCTGGTGGAAAGTTCTGGTTGTTCATCCACCTCTGGACTTTAGTCTTGTTGCAGAACCTGAGTTTTACATTCACATCCATTTAATGCATCTGGCTTATTTGTATGCAGACTGTTGGTTGCTTGCCTCCCAGGCACTCCAACTTCAAAGAAAACATCACAGATAAGTTGACTCTTATGACATGCTTGTTAGGTAGCAGTGGGTCTGTTTTGTCTATTTTAGATTTCCTTTATTTATCTTTAACTGTCCTTCTTCTCCAGGTTTCTTTAGATGATCCTTGGCTCCTTTTGGCATCTGCTGCCCATCAGACAGCTTCCCTTCCCAGAGTGTCTTGAGTCATTCTGCAAACACATCCAAGCCATCTCCTTTGATAACTTTTGCCAGTGATGAAATATATCCACAGCTATGGAAATAGTACCTGGTGGGGCTCCAATTTGTTCCTGAGATAAAAGTCTTTTACATTAATTATACACTTAGCTGTGACATAGCAAAAATAATATGGGTAGGTTGTTTTCAGAATGTTACTTTGCTGTTCATTCCCACTGTTTGCTGCAGACACTTGGACAGTGAACAATTGATTATAAAACTGTATTCTTCTGCTTCTTCTTCTTCTTGCGATCGGTTTTGTAGGCTCAGGTCAGACCATCAGGTGAGTTTGCTCTATGAACTCACATGTCAGATGCAAGTCGTGCATGTTTCCCCTATAGCTTTCTCTGCACACTTTGCTCTTGAGGCCAGTTTTTTTTTCGCAGGTGTAGGTAGAGTGGGCAGGTTTGCAGAATATGATCAGGTATGTGTTGTCCTGTCTAACAGGCACACTGTGGGGACTGTACAGTCTTTATTTTATGAGGTTGCAATGTCCTGTTCATAGACGGACAATTGTTGCTTTCTGTTGAGAAAATTGTATTGAGTTTTGGTATGCAGTTTTACTTTCTCACAAAAGATCCTAATTTGTCATGCATTAATTTACCACAAAGTAAACTTGGGACTCAAACTGTGTTGAAGATACGTTACAGCCAACTTTCACTGTGGAGATGGCACCTGACTGATGACTTTGCTCTATTCACAGGCAGCAGTGGGGACTTACAGGAATGGGTGATGTTCTTGAACAAGTGTCTGCTGTGTCTGAACAAATGGTCTTACACGGTCTCAACAAGGAGGAACTGCTGCTTTTGCAAGCCACTGTTTTGGTTAATGCAGGTGAGTTAATGTTGCTTCTTCTGTTTAGCTGAGTTACAAGTTATGAACCGACATCATAGCAGGGTTAAAATTCCAGTGGTTTTGATGTTGTGACATGGTTTCCCTTATGTGTTGAAAGTATAGGGCTTTTACTTCAGATTGTCCTTTGTTTCACAAGTGGAAATGTTTAGGAAGGCGCTATTGGTCGAGTAGTTTGAGCACTGGACTGCCTGTCTGTCATGAGGGAGACCCAGGTTGGATCCTCAATAATGAGATAGAGATCTGATTCTCACCATATCATCAGACCATTTCATCCATTACTTTTTGATAAAATGTATGACTTGTTTTATTCCTGGTTTTTTTTTTTTTTTTTTTAGTTTCTTGTTTAATTTTATCTATTCTTGTTACTGTGGCAGTTTTCTTAAGACAGAGCTCATCAGTTGTCACAATTTGTTGGCTCATCATTTACAAGGCCTACTGATGTAGATGACATCACATCATCAGTTGTCACAATTTGTTCACTCATCATTTACAAGGCCTACTATGTGATGATGTAGATGACATCACATCACATCATCATCAGCAAACTGTGCATAATTAATTGCGTTTCCTTTACCAACCCCAGCAATTTTTGGTTGTTGCAGTTTTTCTAGGCAAATATTACATTCAGTAGTTTGTCCCTGCTTACTGAGCGGGCAGCTCTCGGTACCACTGTTGAAACCATTGCAAGACAAACTGTCCACGGCTGGGAACAGACCCGACATTACGAAGCATTTTTGCAATGCCTAAACCACAGACGTTGGACTCCCTTCACTTCCATGACATTTCCTGTTACCCATTTAGGCTAATTGGACCTGGTAGAGGCATATGGTACTAGACTCATGTTCGTATATGTGACTTGGTACTTAGTTGGTATTTGGTCAAAATACACTAGCCGGCTTTACTTCCGTTAAAATTTCCTGGTTCTCGTTTTAACATGGGTCAATCTGAAAGCCGTGGCCATTTAAAAAAAAAATTGACTTAATGTGGTACTGCAGGCAAGCAAGTAGCTAGCTTCTATGACAATTTGGCCTTCATAAAAAGTGTGAGTTTTCTCACTGTTCAAGTAGGTTCACACAGAGACCAAAATTTTGAAAATAGGGATCATAGGGAGCCAAGGGCCCGACCCCCAGCATAGAAAGATCACTAATACAATGCATTTGGCAGTAATCCGCGGGCCACTTGCTAGGCCTCTGCGGGCCGCCAGTTGAATAGCACTGTTGAATACGGCAAACCTCATTATTTGTGATATGGTCTCTGTGTAATATGCCACTAGTTATATATAGGATTTGTAATTTAGTTTTACTGAATAATATTGTGTATTTTTCCATTGCAATGCTGACCACATCACCCACCCAGTGCTAATTGATCTTCTTCTTTGCGTTCAGTTTTGTATGCTCAGATCCGACCATCAGGTGGATTGCCTCTATGAACTCGCATGTCATTTGCAGGTCCTTCATGGTTCCCCATAGCTTGCTCTGCACACTTTGCTCTCGAGGCCAGGTGTCTTTTCAAAGTTGTAGGTAGATTGGGCAGGTCTGCAGAATGTGCTCAGGTGTTTGTGGTCCGGTTTGAAGGCACACTGCGGGGACTGTACAATCTTTATTTTATGCATGTGGTAGTTGAGCCTGCAATGTCCTGTTCGTAGATGGAAAACTGTTGTATGTTGCTTTCTGGTAAGTCTGCTGATGGGGTCATGTGGATGTTTGCTGTTAGTTTGTTGTATCTACAATTCCTTGTATTTTCCTTTGATAAGTGTTCTGATTTCTAGTAATGACAATGAATGGGCGTGTTGTTTCTTCTTTGTTCCATTTTTTTGCAAGTCTGTCTGCTAACTCATTTCCTGGTATGCCGCAGTGAGAGGGGATCCACTAAAGAACGATCTGATTGTTTTCTGTGAGTCTGTTTAGCTGGCGGGTCAGTTCTCTCTCAATATAGTCTCCTGGATCCCTCTGAGTTGGTTGTAGGACTGACATGCAGTCACAAAGGAAAAAAATTTTGCTGTTTTTAATTTTTCTTTCCTCAAGCACTTTGGCTGAATCAGTAATTGCTTGCTGCTCTGTTCTGAAGTTTGTTGAGTCTTTTAGAGGCGCATGATGTTCCTATGGCTGCAGTGGAGTATGCTCCCATGCCATACTCCTGTTTTGATCGTACATATCCTGTGTATACTTGTTGTACAGTGTTGGCATCTGCACCCCAGCTTGTTCCAGTAGGTTTCTTCATAATTCTGAGTCTCAGGGTAGCTTTCCTTTGGGTGTCTTCAATGTGGAGCCCCAGGTTAACCTTTTGTAGAATTTTACTTCCAAATGTGTGGGACTATCCTCTTTTGGAAGGATGTTGCCTTCTAGGTACATATCAACTTGTTCTAGCTTTGTGGAAAGAGAGAAGAGTGTTTAGACAGTTTTTGTCTGGTTTATTGTGACTTCCCAAAAGTCTGTCAATTTCTTAAGCTTCCTGCATTCTTGCTTTTGTTGTTCTTTTATGTTCAGCTTGGGTCCATATGGCAAGGTCATCTGCATGTGGGGCTTTGTGAATGTGATTCGTGCACTGTTTTGGGAGGTCATTGAAAGAATAAACAGGGTAGGAGATATAACACCCCCCTGGGGGACACCTTCTTGTAACCTGACCAGCTTGCACTTGTGCTCTTCTGGTCTGACTTTCGCACAGCATCTGTAAAGTAAGTCTCTAATGGACGCAAAAATATGCCCTTTTATCCCACTGTGTGCTAGTTTTAGCAAAAGTCCGTTCTTCCAGACTTTATCAAAGGCTTTGGTCGGGTTGAAGAAAGTATCTAACAGTTTTTTTTTTTTTTCTGGAAAGCATCTTCAGTTTCCTGTGCGATATAAAAGGTTTGGTCATCAGTGCTTCTGTATCTCCTGATCTAAAAATATAGATTTAGCCTTATTTGCCCAGTATGCTCAAATACATGGAAAAGAGTCCTTTACTTTTAATTTACTTAGCTATTGTGTGATCTTTTTTTTTAAATCCTTGTTTTTGTTGTGTGTTTTCAGTAGCTATTGTGTGATCTTTTTTTTTTTTGAAATCCTTGTTTTTGTTGTGTGTTTTCAGTAGCTATTGTGTGATTTTTTTTTTTTAATCCTTGTTTTTGTTGTGTGTTTTCAGTAGCTATTGTGTGATTTTTTTTTTTTAATCCTTATTTTTGTTGTGTGTTTTCAGTAGCTATTGTGTGATCATTTTTTTTTAAATCCTTGTTTTTGTTGTGTGTTTTCAGAGGTTCGCCGATTGGACAGTTTTGTGAAGATTCAAGAGATGAGGCAAGTGATATTGGATGTGTTCATGGAGGTTGCTGGTCGGCACCAGGGTTATGGAAATTTGAGGCACGCACCATCAATACTACTGCTGCTGACACACGTTCGCCAGGCCGGGGAGCGGGGCATCACCTACTTCCAGCGGCTGAAGATGGAGGGCTCTGTCACATTCTGTGATCTGCTGACAGAAATGCTCGATGCGCACAATTCCTCCTGTGAGCGCCGGCGGCTGCAGCAACAGCAGCAGCACCACCACCAGCAGCATCCTTCACAGACACCGCACCAGCAACAACAGCATCTGTCTCAACACCAGTCCAGCCATCATTCGCACCAGCAACAGCACTCAATGGCCCCAGAATGATGACAGTCAAGGAATAGGGAAATACTCAAGATTGTGTCATTTTTTTTGTCTTTATGGGTGTAAGTAGACTGCAGAAACGCAGTATCAACATTGCCTGGTGCTGCCTTGATGGGCTACAAGAGATGGTGTGTGAAGAGAAACAAGACACTTTTGGATGTCCTGCAAACAACTATTCTTTACGGAGTTACTTCGAGTAAACATTTGTGTACAATACTGGAAAGAGGATAGTCTGTGATCTTAACAACAAGAATTTATGAGTAATTTATAATAACTCTTTAACATGTTTTGCAGAGCTGTATCTAGATATATAAATCTTTCATACTTGTAAAGATGCTGCCAAAACACTTGTGCATTTTCAGTCACCATAGCACATGAAATAAGTAATAACTACAGGGTGTCTCATAAGTTTCCATACGTATGAAAAATAAACATATCACGTGCCATGCAAGCTTAGCTCCAGCTGTGCTTATATGTGATCTTTAACAGTAGAGAATCTGCATCGAAATGTGTTTTTCACAAGAATGCTTTTCATGTTGTGCATATTATCTAAACATGGGTTTTCGGTTTTTAAACATCGGTGCAAGTCAAACATTACGGGTCGCTGAGTGAATTACAAAAGACAGTGAAGCTCATACTAGAAACAACATTGCAGAAATAGATAATTATTTTCAGGCGAATAGAAAAAGAAGTTTTTAAGAAATGCTTTTTCTTCCTACTTATGGAAACTTATGAGATCCCTGTACATAAGCCTGGATAGTTTGTCAACATATAGAAGATATGTGATTTATCAGCTTATGCTGTTTGTACTGCACGTGCTGACCCAACATGCCTGCCCATTAGGTCATTTTCATTTCTTTCTTTTTTTTTTGACGTTGCAGCTTTTAGTCTTGAGTTCAGCATGATAATATACTGATGATGTCTTTTTTTTTTTTTTTTGGGACGAGATGATGTAAGTGACTTGTATTTAATAAACAAGTTTCACTATGCTGAATGCTGTTAGCAGATTTGGACGAGATGATGTAGGTGACTTGTATTTAATAAACAAGTTTCACTATGCTGAATGCTGTTAGCAGATTTGGGAGCGGGGAGGGAGGAGCATTGCATGCAGCATCATTTATAATTTTTTATTTTCAATCCTGAAGCTTGTCTTTTTTTTCTCTGAAATTTACGTCATATTTGATTTCACTCCTAAATGACTAGCTGTGTCCCCCTGTGGGTTTCATAGCCCCATTTGGGGAGGGTGTCGATTTATAAATGGTTTCCTGGGCTAAAACTTTTTGAGGAAGTAAAGGGGTGGATCTTATTGCCAGTGGACATGATGCTGACCACATCACATATCTTGTGCCGATTGGTCTATAAAATATAGGTCTAGCCCTATATGCCTAAAGGCGTGGAAAAGGGTCATTTACTTTACTTGTTGCCGGTGGCATATTTCAGTATCTCCTGTTCAAAAATCTGTAAAACGTCATTTGCCTTTGTATTAGGCATAAAGTGTTAGCCTTATATTTTATAGACCAATGTGCACTCCATGGTTGATGTGGTCATCACTATGCCGGCCACCTTTACTTCCCAGGAATTTACCTGGCACCCATTTAAAGCTAGATCAGCTGCTACACCAGTGCAGCTCCTTGCTTATTTAACATCGGCTAAAAATGTTGGATATCGCCAGAGTTAACCATCGTTTTGTCAAACTATTTTCATAGTTGATAAATGAGAATATGTGTACATAGAAGGTGTACATTACAACTTATGAGATATATTGAGTCTTGCAAAAGAGGTGGGGTCGAAACACTACTTGAGGGCCAAAATTACAAATCATTTGTGACTATTGCCCGGTACTTTACCAATAACTTCTTTAAATTAAATTTAGCCTGAAGATTTTATCATCTCAGTTATCTTTGATTTCATATAATTTTTAAAGTCACAGTGGTCAGGTTTTTACAAGTAGTAACATTTTGTGTGTGTGTGAAGTGAGTAGGCTTTTTTTTTTTTTTTTTAAATGCAGTGTTTTTACAGCGCTTGTTCTAGATGCACTTTTAAGTGGTTCATGAATTGACAGAATCTGAAACAATTCACAGGTCACATATGTCCATCTCACTTTTATTTAGCCAGTGCGGGAAATTGTAAACGAAAAATGTCTTGCAGCAAGTGATCATCATGATCACATCCTGCAAAACGTAACAGTAATTACAGAAAGGAAGTTTTATCCGTGCGCTAGTTGTCTTGCTTCGTTTCTTCCCTTGCATTGAGTTTTTTTTTTTTCCTCTCGTTGTTACCATTTCATTCTCATCTGCTGATTTATTACCAGAGAGAGGCTTGAGAATGAAAACCACAAGTGGATTATATATAAAAGTCTTTTACAAAGTTGATGTGCATCTTAATCCTCTTTACAGTTGAAAAGAAAATAGAAAAGGTAAATGTAGGCTTTTGAACAAAAACTATTTAATGTAAGCACCTCTTCATTGTTGATTTTCTTTCCTTAACTAAATAACGAGGCTGCAACATTGAAGATTGCCTATACAAGCCGAGTTCATTCAGTTTTTTTTTTAAATAATTTGGAGAACTGCATTATTTCCACTTTGTTTTTATAATTCAAATAACTACATCATTTGGAGAACTGTTTTACAATTTGAAGGACTTGTTTTTATAAATTTTTTTTTTTTTTTTAATGGGTATGGATGTTTGTAAATTGAAGAACTACAACCATTCAGAGGAATTATTTATTTATATTTCTTTTTAAATAATTTGGAGAAATACACCGTGCAGATGACCATTTATTTTTATTATTTCAAGAACTACACCATCTGAAGAACTTTTTATTTTTCAAAGTTTGAAGAACTACACCATTTAGAGGACCTGTCTCGCCAGCTGTGATCATGTTAAAGGACTTTCTAAAGCTCATTGTACAATGGCATGTCCTCACTGCTTTGCCCTCCATGGTGAAGCTGACACTATCTTATATGCATATATTGTTTGTTATTATTTTACACAACTTACGGACAGGGTAGCTGGAATGGCATAGTGATTAGATGCTTGTCTTCTGGCCCAAAAGTCTAAGGTTAATGCCTGCACTGAATCATTTTTTTAAATACCTTGTCTCTAAGGCCGACTAGTGGGTACCAGGTGAAGGCGACTGGCTTTTGTTTTTGACCACATCACCCATCGCATGCTGCTTGATCTACAGACAAATGATTCTAGCATTATTATGCCACTGCATGAACTGGGTACTCTACTTACAGACAGTTTAACATCACTCACACGCTGGTCGATGTATCTCATCTCATGGTTTATTATGTTTCTTTCCATACAACTGGATTAGCTCATTCCCTACCAAGCAGCTCAACATGCTTCAGCTCAGGGCTGTCCAACTGGTGGTCCACTGGTCACATCTGGTCCACAGAGGCCTAGCAAGTGGCCCCCGGAACATTGCCTGTTGTTTCGTATTAATGATCGTTCTGTGCTTTGGCTCGGGGCCACTGGCCCGTGAAGATCCTCATAAAAAAATGTTTTTGAGCTCCGAGTAAACTTAGATGAATAGCCATGCTTTAGCCGGTTTCACCTGAACTATTTTGTCTGATCTACTTCTGCCCCGCTCCGCTTGTTACGCTCATCCACTCAGCAACATTGCTTTCTTTTACCCCTCTTATTCCGCAGCGGGTTTGTTTTAACCCCTCTGACCTAAGCATGTTGTGCAGTGACTCAAATAGGTCTTCACAGTCTGAAGAGAATGGTGCAACAGGGAGTGACCAGGGGGATCTGTCCAATCTGCAAAGAAAAGGCAAGAGCGACCTACAGTCAGACTGTTACTAGCGCCATCAGAATTGTAACTCTTCACTGGCTGCTGAAGGTGGGGACGGAGCTCTCATGGGAATGTCTCAAGTGCTGTGATATGGATTCTTAACATAACCTAACCCAGCTCCTAATAACAGTTTCTTAGAATTTAGCTAAAGGATCACCTGCTTGGTAAGTATCAGCCATATGATGTTAGATTTGTATTTTTATAGACCAGTTGACTGTCCAGGAGGGGAGGAGATGATGTGGTCAACATCACGTATGCTGCCTTTACTTCCTAGGACATTACCTGGTACCAATTTTAGGATGGACTTACCTGGAAGCTAAGATCAGTTTTAAGAAATTCCATTCGGTTTGGAACCCAAGACTTTCAGACCAGCAGTGGGGCATCTAGCCACTACGCTATTCCAGCTCCTAACATGTTGATTTGTAGACAGTAATATCCAGCCCCATGTCAAGTGTTGCTTCAGGCAGAATGAGTTAAATATTTTTAAAATAATAATCAGCAGATATATTTAGCAACATTTTTCAGCTTGGATTTTTAGTGCAGTTCATTTTATTTATTCACCTGAACAGAAACTATATCAGATGAAATAATGCCATATTGTTTAGTTTGTATGTTGATGCATAGGCCATACAGTATTCATAGATGAGAGTGACTGGTTTCATGCTACAGCTGACAACAGATTCATGTCAAATGTGATTTAGGAACAGTATATAATAAACTCTGAGTAGCTTGAAAGAAGCTAATGAAAGTAGATCTCTATATACAACAATAAGAAAGAGACAGATACTGTTCTTTGGCCACATAACAGCTGGAAAGATCAGTGGGAAAAGAGTTAGTGGCAGACCCAGAGAGATGATGCTGGATGGGCTGAAATGATGGCATGGAGGGATAGCATCAAGAGAGCCGTTCCAGGCAACCAGGGATCGTGATCTGTGGCAAAGCATGAGCACCTCCGCCAGTTGGCACGGCACGTAAGGAAGATGATGATGACATAATAAACAAATAGAAATTAATTGATTGGCAGACATAGAAAGAAGTAGAGTGATAGAAAGAGACACTAGACAATATAAGATTTGAAAGCTACAGTGACCATGCTGGAAAAATCAATACTGACACCTCTAAATAGTTAATTAATTTGGAACAAGAAGACTGTCTGCAGCAGTTGATAAAATAAAAGAGGGCAACTGAAATATATTGTTAT